TATACGATCTCGAAGTATAAACAAACAAGTTTGACGGCTGGATTACTGAAACTAGTTGGGTAGAATGCGTATGCCATCAAAACACAATATTCACCAAAAATGAAGAATTTATTTATACTTTCCTTCAATATAACATAAGATTATGTGATGTCCCGTACTGTAAAAATCTGAAATTGAAGATCGAATTCAATCTCTGTATTCATATAGGGTCAAGAAATACAGCTGTAAAAAAATTTCAAAATTGGGGTGAAAATCACCGTTGAATCGTGACTTTTTGTTTAGAAACGTCGAAAAGTTTTGTCCCGTTACTCAATCTCTGAATGTTCATTTATTCCGATGTTCGACGTATACGATCTCGAACTATAAAAAAACCAAGATTGCCAGTTGAATCATTGAAACTAGTTTAGGAGTTTGGGTTTAGGGTATAGGTTTTAGGGTTTAGAGTATAAGGGTATGTGTTTGCGCGACAAAACCACTATATATTTGTCGCACAAAATAGTCTTGCACGACAAAGCACGTTTCCTTTCGTCGCGCATTCTCCCTCAGAATAAAGGAACACACAAAAACACTTAGTAAAAATTTTTTGGCAAATCAGAGCTTGCGTGACGAAAGGATCAATTGTTCGTCGCGCAAAAGTTACAGACAGAGTATTGTGAGACGAGGCAGAGTCAATTTCGTCGCGCAATCTGAAGAAGAATTTCAGCCCATTTCCGCCCCAACACTTAGTAAATTTTTTTGGCAAATCAGAGCTTGCGCGACGAATGTCTATTTCATCGCGCAATATCATTTCATTTAAGTACCCGCGCAAAATTGAATCCCAAAATTTGGGCGGATGGACAAACTTGCGCCACAAAACAAGTACTTTCCGTCGCGCAAAGTGGATAATTTCATAACCTTGCGCGACTTAGGAAACTATTCCGTCGCGCAAAATGTGCAAACCCTAAACAGTAATCCCAAATTTTGGCGGAGATGGGGACATTGCGCGACGGAAATGTAATTTATTTCGTCGCGCAAAATTCATTCAAATCAATTTTGCGCGACGTATTTACTTATTCGTCGCGCAAAGTCGAATAAGTTTTCTGAAACTCGCGATCTTCTCCTTCTTCCCCAGTTTCTCAAATCCTCCCTAAAACCTCTCTATCTCTCTCCGCCGTGACCTCAGCCCCTACTCCGCCCCAATTCAGACCCGGCCGCCACAACCATTGAACCCCGAAGCTTCCCCGTCGTCGCCGTCCATCCTGCCGCCGTGATTTCCTCCGTTTAAGCTGAATCTTCGCCGCCGTTGTTCTCTCTCCTCCGGGCACCAAATCCGGCAATTGAGGTATGCTTTCTGGACTATTTTTTATGCTTTAACTGATGGTTGGGTAGGATTTTATTGATTGTTTGCATAGGGTAGTGAATTTGAAACCCAAGGTTTCGGCCAGTTTTTAATTGAAATTTTGGCCACTTCGGGCCATTTTTCGGGGTAGGTCCGAGAACAAAAGTCCCTCCAATTGATGTTTTGAATCTAGGGTAGGAACCTTGGCCCTTAATTTTTAGGATTTTTTAGCGAGTGTTATCGCTTTGGGCACCCATGCACTGCATGCGCGTGTGGTGGCGCGTGGGGTACTGTAGCATTGGGAATTAGGTCCCAGTGCAATCCCCTCATTGTCACAAGCGCGTAGGTGTGCTCGGATTGGAATTTGGTTACCGTTTGAGTCTCGAACGGATTTTTCCTATTGTGCGATTTCTGGATTTGATATGTTCGGACCGTTGGATCAAGCTCAAACTCGCGTATGTGGTACCATGTATTTATATGATTGTTCAGGATTCGACGGATTATGGATCGGAGTCCCGGATACTCCTAAATCGCAAAATCTAGGTCAAACTATGATTGTAATTAATTAGTTCAATTTTTTAATGACACTGTATGTGCTAAATTTGATTAATTTGTATGTGTATTAATGAAATTTTGTAGATGTCAGACTTGATTAGATGTCGTAGGGCGGTGACGACTACACAGAGTTCGAAGCCCCCAGCTCAGCCGGCATCAGCTGCCACTGCTCCAGCACTGATGGAGCAGGACCACGTGCTAGCTGGTCTCGGGGGATCCCAGGCGCCTGCATCATCAGATTCTTCGGTGGTGCAGCCTATTAGCGCTAGGCGGCGTCACCGGCCCGCCACCACCACCGACACCATATCGACATACGGTACTGGTGCCTCGGGGGCACCACCAGATATATATACCCTTCCACTTTCTTTTTTTATGGTTAAATTTGCTATTTATTTAACAGTATTGTCCTATCCCTTTGCAGCCAAGAGGAACACCCGAGGGCCGTGTGGCAGCTGAAGACGACGAAGGTCACCCGGGTGACCAACAGTCGTATCAGCATCGGATACGACGAGCGCCATCGGGCTGCACCGACGGCTGAGTTGCATAGCTCCTTGGCCCACGACATTGGCCATGTCGTTCGGACCCATTGCCCGATGCAATGGAAGTCTTGGAAGGTCATGCCTGATGAGATCAAGATAGAGGTCGCGGCCAGTTGTCGGTATATTTCCTATCTTTTAATTATTTTTCTTTCAAACTTTATATATTTCTGTTACTTAATGTATGTTATTAATTTATTGCAGACGAACTATGACTTAGAGGACCTCAACGAGGAGTCGATGACGTACATCAACAGACTCTTCGGTGAGAGGTACAAGCAGTGGAAGAGCGACTTGCACCACCATTTTGAGGCGTTTGATGATCCGCAAGTCGTTCTTTAGGAGGGTTGCCCGAAGGAGCTTGAGGGGCGGGAGGATAGTTGGGTGTGGCTCTGCGCTCATTTTCAAGCCCCCGATTATATGGTATTTTTTTAATAATATATAAAGCCCTAGTGAATAAGGGCAATAGAAAGAAGAAGACTCTTCTCCACCATTCCGGCTCCAGGCCCTTCTCATATAGGATGGATGCACGGCGTCGGGTAAAAATAATATAATTTATATTTAATTTTGAATACGTCATTATTAGTAATTTATTTTGTTCATACTAATATTTTCCTTCTCTTGTTCAATTTAGGGGGGGTCGAAATTCCCAGAGATCGACGTCTTTTGTGACGTTTATGTTCGACCTGGGAATGAGTTGGCGGAGTCCCTTCATGTAAGTATTATTTAATTTTAATTCTTATGTTACGCTTTCAATTTATATGCATGTTTTAATTTATATTTTATGTAATGTTAAATAGACGACGATGGTGGAGATGAGCCAGTTGGTTCTTCAGGAGTCCGCCTCCCAACTTCCTCCCGAGACTTCGATAGAGTCTGTGGATCCTCCACAGGATGCTGGATTTCAGATTTTGACGCAGACATTGGATCAAACTCTCGGGAGGAGGCCGGGAACATATTGTAGGGGGATGGGGAATGCCCGATAGAGGGAACCTCGATCACGGTCATCGTCGCAGGCAAACAGTCAAGTGACTGTTTTGACATCGCGGGTTGCCGAGCTTGAGGGTCAGCTGTCGGTGATTCTGCAGTCCCTCGCGCGGTCCGGCATTCCAATCCCGAATTTTGGTGTGCCAACCTCCAAGCCCGTCCGCCCCGAGCATCCCCATCAGACCACGGCCCCTGTAGACGCCCAGACCTCCGAGCCGCATGTAGCAGATACAATTTCATTTTAATTTTTAAAAAACCAAATTTATTTTTTTCCAAAATTAAAAAACAAATAATATTAATTTTTTATTATATATAATATATTTTAATTTTGTGCGACGAAATGTATATCGTCGCGCAAAATCATTTTTTTTTTTTAAACGTTGAAAAATATATTTTTAATACACTTCATTTAATCATGCGCGACGAAGGTTTTTTCGTCGCGCAAATTTCACGTATCTCGCGCAACGAAGAACTCCGTCGCGCATTCTTGGTGCGACGAGCAGCCTTTCGTCGCGCAAACTTTTGTGTCTCGGACACTTGAGTCGTCCCGAAACGTTTTTTGTAACGAAGGTGCTACGTCGCACTCTTTTGCGTGACGAATGTCATATATTCGTCGCGCAAAGTCTTTCTTTACGATCTTTGTGCGACGGATTCTGCGCGACGAAACTTCTGTCGCGCATAATTATGTGCGACTAAAATCATGTTTGTGCGACGAACATTCCTTCGTTGCGCAAAGCCTGAAATGTAGTAGTGTTATGTGCTACTGATAAGTTGGCTGTTTTTGGAATTGCTGTAAAGGACCTGAGGTCTGTTCGTCATTCATGTTTTCGTTTCTCTCTTTGAAAATTTGGCACACACCAGCTGAGCTGGCTTGCTGCATGAACTCTGAAATATATATTACACAGTCGCAAGCATGATTCCAGTCATAGATCGATCAAGTAAGCAGCTTGCTGTAGGCTCATGTACATGGTCACTTATAATTATGTACCTTCTCTAGGAGATGAGCAAGAGCCATGTTAGATATATAAGTACTAGCTTGAAAAACTTAGTTGTCAAGACTCAGTAGTACAGCTAGTTGCAGTCAGACTCTACATCCTGCAAACCAACAAAAAGAAATGAAATAGGAATCGAGTTTAAGACCACTTGCAAAGAATACCATGTTAGACCATTATTAACCGTAAAGCTATTGAACTTTCATAAAATGGACTAACAATTAGACTACGATAATAGCACAGCTCTTTCTTTGCACGATCCATGTCTCCGTCAACTATAGGTCATGGGGAGCACTGGCTTGCTACCAAACTTGCTATTCTGAAATATACACTCCACGAATGAGTACTTTCATTTTTCGCTTTTGCATTTGCTCTGAATTGAGTTCAACGACCTAACCACATGCGCAACTCCCCTCTTTCATGATATAAACGACGCGTCGTTTCTTCAAAGAAACCCGCAATGGGTTTTTTTTTTTCTATTTTAATTATACACGTGGCGATCGTTGAGTGGGGATCATCAGTACACGCGTCAACAGGTGAAATAAAAATCCAAGATCGGTGCCGTGGATGATACCGAAACGTGAATACTCCCGAAGCTTCGGTTGGCTTCCACTTCTTCTGGAACTGTCTGGCCCAAAAAAGCAAAAAATCATCAGGAACAGGAACCCTTTGCAACGATTTTTTTATACTCTGTTTATGTCTCTTCGTTTGTTGTTGCAGAGCAACTGAAGCACCGCAGGTACGGACCAAACTCAATCCATCAGCACCCTAACTAAATAATCTTTGGTGTTTTTAAGATTACAAGGTGTGTTGGGTTTGTTTGAATTGATCACAAAAAAGTAGAGCCTACATGCGTGGATTAGCTGCGTTGTCCCCTGCAAAGATCAAGTTGTTCAAACAAGCCTACCCTATGAAAGGGTCATGGGGTAATTTACACCCTCCTCCTCTCCTCTCTCTTTATGCTTTTAATATAGTTAATAACTTATAAATTTATAATTGTATGTCATTACAAGTTCTTTATCTGATTCATATGATACATTGTAATTAATTATAGGTACTGTGGCCACTTCAACACCAAAGAGACAAGGGAACAATGATCCTGGCGAAGGAGGACTTGTTGCAAAAGAGAAAACCGAACCAATTGTCGCCTTCAGCAGGCCTCCGCCCCTTCCACCGGTTTTCGGACCATTGGTTCTTCTCTCTCTGCTAGAAACGTGGTGGAGTCGCGATAACAATGATGACTAAAAGGTGATTTATCTGTCCTTCTAACGCTGGCATTGTCTGATCCTCTCTACTTGAAGAAAAACTTTGCAATGTAAAGCACAATGTAGTATGCATAGCTGAGCAGTCGAGCTGCAAGGTTCCAAAGCCTCAAGTAGCTGTCTACAAGTGGTGCGAAAAGTATTGTGTATATCTTCCATAACCATTGAAAAACGATATGAGGACTCTTTAGGAACCCTGCAGGAGAAATATTTTGATGTTATGTCATGCTATGATATAAATAAGATGAGTTAAGGTTTTGAAATTTTTAGTTAAATTCGGCTTACAATCAGTAGTTTTTGGGAAACCATCGAAGAGTGCAGTCACTGTCTTTAACAGACTCTGAATTGATCCACAGGGACAAACACATAATGAACAAAATCAAATGGTCAATAATATTCACTTTATTATTATTTATTTATTTTCTTATTATGATGATAGAGGCCAAAGGATTCTTTCTGACAGTAGTTGGCAGACTTACCAGCACTACAGTTCCTGGTTTGATTGGTGATTCAATGACAATTTGGGCTTTCCTGTAGACAATCAGAATCAGTTAGGCATTGTTCATCTTTAATAGAATGTGAAGCCAAAGAAATACATTTGTCTTTCTGTACTTGAGTATTATTTTTTCCCCTTTTTTGGAGAATTCAAAGAAGCTGCAGCCTCGGGTGTAGGGGATCTGTTTGTCTTTCCATTCTGCAATACCAAACATAACCCAGTTGGAGGATGCACAAGATATGTAATGGGACTATATTTATTTCAGGTGGAGTGACAATGGCATATATAAGTGCACATACCCATGTGCCAGTTTGCTGCTCCTATAAGCTCATCTCCTTCGCACACGCGTTGTATGCAGAACTTGACATTTTGACCCATGCCTGTAATCAGCTGTTCAAAAAAATTCATTACCTCCTGCATAGAATGCAATTTAGGTTATGTTAGTTGCAAGGAAAACTATGATCTTCTTGTTGTCAAGAAGGAAAAAGATCATTGACCTTTTTGCCCTGTAATGGTGTGTTAAAAGAGCATTCTTCAATGTAGCAGTCTTCTGAGATGTAATCACCTAGTTGCTTTAAGTTTTTCTCATTGATGCATTTGTAGAATTTCTTGATTGTGTCTGATGGGGAAGGAGAACTTGGATATATGCCTGAGCTTCTCTGTACTGCTGCCATGACAGGAAAGAGCCTGTGGTCATTTAACTGTTTATTTTCTGTCTTCCTTTTCACGTAGATGCAATGTTGCAGAGCATCTCTTTTGTTCTGCTCAAATTGGCATGTTCTTTTAATGGCCATGGAACCAATGGCTGGCCCTGCCATTGGTTTGAGGCACATTCTCTGACTAGGTGTTTTGCCTGAGAAATTGAGAATAGTAGCCATTGCCTTCTGCCAAAGTTGAAACGAGAGAGAGAGAGAGAGAGAGAGAGAGAGAGAGAAGCAAACAATTATCATGTAGCATTCATATGTACAAGGGACTAGTGTGACAGAATAGAGGAAAGAATAAAGCGACATTTGCACCACTAACTTAACCAAGGAATCTCCACGTGGTTTTAGTTCCATTAGATTGCTTTGCCTATATTTGTGCCTTGGTATGAAATCTAAGTATCACCGCATCAGGCATCACCCGGGTTTTGCTAGTAATAGTGAATCATATTTTTTCCCAATGATATAGTATTGAAGCATAACAAGTCGATAAAAATAAAACTATTTGTATCACAGTTATTGATTATATAATTCATTATCGAATTTACCTTGTGGATGTGATCAACAAAGTACTAGACACAAAATATGAAATAAATACTAAGATAGTTGTGCCACATTGTTCAATGGGAATATATTGGCAACCCTATGTGCATGGTGTCACACTTGTTATAATTAGCAATTCTTTATGTGTAGATGTTTATATGTTCCAAGACGTTTAATAAATTGGAATTCAAAATGGAATCTTTGCTTCTTGAATTGATTGACGTTGTATATACAGGCAAAAGAAATATATAAGCTGCCCAAACCAAACCCTACCACAACCCTAACCAATTGCACTATTGCAGCAAGATGTGGAGGTTTAAGAAGCATGACAGGGAATTGGATGGGCCTAGATACCCCTATGTATGCCTAGATGCCCTAACTTCATAGGGGCTTAGGTCTTGCCATCTTGGAAATCAATCATTCTGCAATTGTTTACTGAAAAATGAAAATACAGTCTGAAATTAGTTGCCGATTGCAATGTGTTCTTCCCCAAAATATGTCATCTATATTCATATGGTTGTTAGGGCACAACTATATGCGGACATATTCGTAGCTTACATAATATGATGAGAAAATTATCAAACAGTTTGACACTGTTAATCAAAATCACTGCTTCAGTTAAATTTTGTCTGAATTTTTAGATTGCCAATACACAGCACATGTCAAACTTTTGATAAAGACGCCCTAAAACTACCTCGAGTAAAAGATGTCTCAAGTTTGAGTTTTCCAATTCCTGGACATCCGTAATTAAGAATGCAAATGTACATATTTATACATAAAATGAAAGGTATACTTTGTTTTTTGTACAAAAGGACAAAATAAACTTTACAAGTTAAATAATCCTGCATGATGATTCACTGATTCAGTGCACATGTCTGAGAGATAGAACCAAAGCGATGAGGAAACTTCTTTCTTCTTCTTTTTTTTTTTTTAGGTTTCTGCAGGGTACTGAAGCAGAAGCACATGTGAAGTATTTCATACAGCAGCATAACCTCAAATCTTTTTTCTTATTCCATGGATGACAGCTGAAACATAAATTTCAATACATAATCTCTGCCTAAAATGGATCTTCTCACTATTTTCCATTTTTGATATAATAAGGAATGAGCATCAGTAACAGTCACAATCTTCATCATTTTCATCTCTCTCTCTCTCTCACTTGACTTTTTCCTAAGGGATCAATCTACTCAACCATGTGATACAACAACACACATATTCAAATAATTCGACCAAAAAACAAACATATTCAAATAATAGAACAAGATAGCTTCACCTGTAGGTACTAGAATGGCCGTTTGACATTTCCAAGAAGGTCTCCTTGAAAATAAGGACATTCATTAGAAGAAAACAATTTTCAAATGTACATGAATGGATTATGCTCTGCTCCCTGTTATCCGCACAACTTGCCTTTAAATTATATAATCATCCGTTAACATGGACAAAAACATAATATAAAAAACCATTAAATTCTTACCACTGTTTTAAAGTCTGTCTTCCCCTAGTCCCTTCAGCATATCCACTAAAGAAAACCAGGGACCACCCTCAAGGTCCACCAGAGCTCCTACATAACCCGCACGTGTTCAGGTTAAGACAAACTCAAACCAATCATTTGCATTAAACTATGGATAATACTCTTAATCAATCATAATCAGTCACCAAATCATCACACAAATTTATATTGTCTCAAGTTGAGCTGAAAAGAATCTCTGTACAGCCAGACAATCTCGCTGGCATGCCCCCTAACAAACACCAGTCTGAAAAAGCTTGTTTCTAGCCTTCTCTGATCTTCCCGGATCAATCCACCCCCATCCTTAGATGATACAATGAGCTCTATGTAAACTCCCAACCAATGCCACTCTATCCACATCCATCAAACAAAAAAGCAGTCTTAAAGCAAAAAAGAAAAGAAAAGAAAAGAAAATTCGACATTTCCTCAAATCACAAAATGAATAGCAAGGTCTCTGGTGTTCCTGCAGATGAAATTGCCAAAAGCTTCAGAAGCAGAAAGCCTCTTCCAAAGCGGGGACAGATAAAATCAAAAATAGCTGCAAATGCCATTCATTCCATAGTCTCTGTGCTCTCCAAAGCCTCTTCAGATCGCAAACAGCGCAGCAGGAAACCCCATTTTTAGTGAGAGCAAGATCGGTAGAAATTGTAGATTCATGTCATTCTCTAAAAATGTATCATCAGTTGATCACTGCCTTCTTAATGTATTTAGCTCTTCTTATATCATTTTGTTTTTCTCATTCCGTTCAAGCTCAATTGATAGTTTCTAGTCTCATATAGCAATTTACTGGGGAAAAGAAAGAATAAAATAAAATAAAATGGCAACGAAATGGCTGTATCTGGCTTTCACGAGTGGCACAGATTATACAACAGAAACCAACATTCAAGCATATTTTCGTGTCAAAGATGCTAAATTCATTTGTAGTTTTAAACACTTACAAGGCCACAATTCACAATGTTAGCAGAACATGACAATATTATAAGTTTGATTGTTATAACTGTTGAAGCAATGGAAAATAACCTTGGAAAGCAGGTTAATAATTGTTTATACAATCCATAACCAAGAACAGAGAATTGATGAGCAATGTTATATAGAGATTGGAGTGGGTGCAAACAAAAAGGAAGAAGGCATGTGCATATCTGGATAAAATAGTAAAACCTCGCAATATGGTCTAATACTAAACGCAAGAGCATATGTGACTGGACTTCATAAATTGAAAAACCAACCTGATCAGATGGCAAGTACTTCACTTGTCAATCCAGAGGATGCCGGAAGGGGTAGCCAAGCAAGCAATGTGAATGGCTCAATACTTATGTTTTTACTCTCATGATGTGTTTTTATAAGTCATAGATCATTAAACTTGGACCGTCATTTTCCAATTTTGAGGTCACTGACATTTGCCGATACAACCTTATTAGCTCCGTATGTATTTCTCTACTATCACGATGTGATTTGTCGTCAGCTAAAAAGTAATGAAGCAGTCCTCCAACTTGAAGCCAACTAGAACCAGGCTCTTTGTACACTATTTTTTCCTTCATTTCCTTTCTCACTTTTCCAACAGCACTCCACATACCAGCTGAGGCATAGAGATTTGAAAGCAAAATATAAGCAGATTCATTGTCAGGCTCCAACTCAAGAAGCTTCTGTGCTGCGACTCTCCCCATGTCCATGTTTTTATGGATGTTACAGGCCGATAGAAGAATCTGCCATATATGAGCATCAGGGCAAATGGGCATTTGATCAATGGTCCTCTTTGCTTCTTCTAGGAGTCCAAGTCGACTAAGTAGGTCGACCATGCAGGCATAGTGTTCTATATATGGCATTAGCTCATCACGCTCAAACATTGAGTTTAAGTAACTAAAAGCTTCTTTGAAAAGACCTGCGTGGCAACATGAAGTAAGAACTCCCAGGTAAGTTATATGATCTGGTTTTACTCCAAACTTAGACATCTTGTTGAATAGTTCCGAAACTTCATCATGAAAACCGTGTTGAGCATATCCCATCACCATCGCATTCCAAGAAGCCAAATTGTTTGTGGAAGCATGTCTAAACACCTTCTCTGCGTCACCTATGCTTCCACACTTACAATAAACATCAATAATAGCGCTTTCAACAAAGCTCCCTTGATCAAATCCAGTTTTAAGAGCCAGGGAGTGAATCACTCTTCCCTGTTCCAACTCAGTTATAGCACCACAAGCTTTAAGGACAGTACTGAAAGTTGAACTGTCCACTTCAAGTTTCAAGCCCCTCGAGATATGGAACAAATTGATAGCATCAGCATGACAACCGGAACGGACAAAACTACTTGCCATTGCATTAAGAAGTACCAAATTTATCTTGTTAATATCATAAAATATCCTTTTTGATTCATCAATCCAATTGCATTTCCCGTATGTCACTATCAAGCAAGCCACCACACGATCATCCACCATGAACCCAATTTTGATCACATGTGAATGGATTTGCATTGCCAGCCTTGGGGAATTCAAGTTCGAGGCAACTTCAAGAAGGCTAGCCAAAGTATACCCATTAGGCTGTAATGAGATATCACGCATGCAACGAAGTACCTCCAAAGCCTGAGTAACAAGTCCATTCTCAGAATATCCAGCAATCAAAGAATTCCAAGAGACAGAATCTCGGCAAAGCATATCATCAAATATGGACCTAGCATCACCAATCTGCTCACACTTCCCATACATGGATATTAACACATTGCCAACAGAAACCACCCGTAAATACCCCAGCTTCTGACAAAGTGCTTGGATTTGCTTACCGGGATTTAACATCCCCAGCCCTACAATGGCTGACAATACATTTATAATTGTATATTCATTTACCTTCACATCCCCAGAGTGCAAAATTTTGAACAGTTCTAAAGCTTCCACACCATCAGAAGCAGCTCCTATCCTTTCAGTCCAAGAAACAACATCCGGGTCAGTAATTTCATCGAAAACCTTTGCGGCATTCTGCTGATTCCCACACCTAGAATACATATTCATAATTGCATTACTCAAATGAACTGAACACCCCCATAAAAATCCCATTTTGACACCAACCCCATGAACCTGTTCCCCCTCTTTCTCATCAAACAATGCACCAAGCACAGCAGTCAAGCTAAACTCATTCAACTCCAAACCCAAACCCCTCATCTCCGCAAAAACCTCCCTACCCTTTTCAAACTCACAACTCCAAACATACCCAGAAACCATAGCGGTCCAAACCACATTGTCCACAACCAAACACTCCCTAAAACACTTCTCAGCCGACCCAACAGCCCCATTCCTCATATAATTCTCAACCAACCCACTAACCACAAAACCTCCATAGCCAAGCCCCAACCTCAAACAAACCCCATGGGCAATCTCATTCTCTTCCAAACCATCACAAGCCTTAACCAAAGAACTCAATGTAAAAGCATCAGGCCTGAGACCCACATGCCTCAACCGATCAAAGAGATCGAAAACGGGTCCGGGTCTGCCGGAGCGGGCCAACCCAGCAATGAGGGCGTTGTAAGAGACTGTATCCGGGTCAGGGGTGTCGTTGAGGAACTGAAGGGCGTGATAAAAGAGACCCAATTTGGCAAATTGGGAAATGACAGCTGAGGCGAGGAAGGGGTCGAGGCGGTGACCCGACTTAAGAAAAAGAGCGTAGGTTTGGTTTGTGAGAAATGGGTTGAGAGGTGAGGTTGATGTGGAGGCTTGGAGGGCTTCTGGGTAGAGACCTTGACGCAGTAAGGCTCTGATAGGTTGGTGTACGATGAGCTTCTTCATTCATGGTTTTGCTGAAAATGAAGCTTCCTCTGCTTTTGCATCCAGTGATTTCTTCATTCCCGCTAAAAAGCTTTGATGTATCGAAAAGAAAGAATGGTGGGCTTTTCTTTTCTACGAAGCCCTGGTTTTTTGGGCCAAAGCCTTATATGTAAAGCTTGCAACTTTCCTTTTTCTTTTAATTTTTATTTTAGAAAAGAAAGTATTATACATATCTATAGAAATTGGAGTTAGTAAATTAGTAAATATTGACCACCTTGTTGACCAATATCCACCTTTGTGAATTGTAATTTGTATTGTCTACAACTGGTTTTACGTAAAGAATTACTCTTGTAATTGAGGCTGTCGGGTCGGATCTACATTTATAATAGAGATGATCAGTAAATATGATAGTGAGATAAGAGTCGAATATTAATACAAATAAGAGTCGGATTATCTCTTTGTCTTCATTACCCTTCACTTCCAATCCAAGTTGTCCTCTTAATGGACCACTTGGATTATAAGCCAAGAATGGCCATGACAAAGAGCAGATTTATATCCATTAACCACATCCCACCGTCAAGTTTGTTGATGTTATCAGACTTAAAAACCAAAAAGAAGAATGATATTGTACGGTAACACGAAATTATGTCAAACAAATGTGTCATTTGGTTGGGCATATAATTTTACTCAAGTGGTGAGATGCAAACCAATCATATCCTTTCTTTCCACTCCTTCGCCTGCCCATTTGAGGAAGGGAATAAATAGCAATTGATTGGTGGAGTGGAGAATTACTCTTCACCCTCCATTTTGTCAAAGAAATGAAGAGGTTGTGCACTGAGTAATGTTGTAAAACTTTCAACCTTATAATTAATAGTATTGGTCCATATTTAAATGCACCTCGCACTGATAACCATGAACCATATGGGCTTGTATGCATTTTGGTCATTTTGATTTTATTTTCCCAGAGACAATTTTGAACCAAACGTTTACTGCAAGAAACTTTTGTTGTTTAACATGTTTCACGAGACTAGTTTTATTTTTTTTGTTTTTTTTGCTGACCTATATTTGAATTGCATACGACAGGTTATTATGATTGTAAAGTATATTTTGGTTTTACCGTAAACAGTTCCGGCTCAAAGTGGTTGCACACTTTGCCACTATTTTTTTGACCTAAAAAAAGTATTTTCTGGTTGTATGATAGTGTGATTCGAAACATAATGTTCTACAATCATTTTGGTTAAGAAAAAAGAAAAACAGATAGAGTAGTTTAGTATACATCCAATTATGCACCCTCCACGGTTATTGCTCCAATTTCATCATTGAGATTTGGTGCTAACAGACCTTTTTGATGCAAAGTATACTAAATAAGTATGTCACTTATACAATCCACTTTATGAGATTGCTTCTTAAAGAATTATGTAATGGTTGGTGAGGGTGCTCGTTAATGCATTGTGAGCCTCACACGCGCACGAGTCTAAAATCAACAGACGAAGTTATGGATGATGTGGATATTCCTTTTACTGATCATATGGTAATAGAATTTTTGCCCCACCATCAAGTCAATCGTAGGGTTGATGCTCAATATCCAGATACAATGTTTACCCACATCATCAACTACTTTCCCACTCACCACACCAACAAATGTTCCACAGAAATTCAAATTGAAGAGGAGAGACAGGCTGGAGAGAGAGAGAGAGAGAGAGAGAGAGAGAGAGAGATAAAATAATAAACCGATATCATCATTAAGCTTGCACAGATTCTTCACGGGCACTGTCTTTGGCTTGTGCAAAACTTTTGTTCTTATCTGTTATTTCCTGGATTTTGGTTTCTGCCATTTTGGTCCATGCAGAGCTCAAGGATAGGTTAGATTGTTGTAGAAGAGTGGGGATTTGGTTTTCCTTTGTCCCCATTGATAGAACATACTGGCCGTTAACAGCATTGGAATATATTATTATTATTATGGCAGCCACCCCAACTGACAGATATTCCTACTGCAAAGTGACGGCAACAAAGATTTGAATGCAATAGCGATTCTTTTGTGCGACTGGTGTACACGGCATCACACTCACAAGGATGCTATCACGACTGGGTCATATGATACCAAATTATAAGCAGCTCTAGTCTTTATGAGAGTAGTTGTCGAGAGATAAAATAATAAATCGACATAATCATTAAGCTTGCACAGATTCTTCACGGGCACTGTATTTGGCTTGTGCAAAACTTTTGTTCTTATCTGTTATTTCCTGGATTTTGGTTTCTGCCATTTTGGTCCATGCAGAGCTCAAGGATAGATTAGACTGTTGTAGAATAGTGGGGATTTGGTTTTCCTTTGTCCCCATTGATAGAACATACTGGCCGTTAATTAACAGCATTGGAATATATTATTATTATGGCAGCCACCCCAACTCACAGATATTCCTACTGCAAAGTGACGGCAACAAAGATTTGAATGCAATAGCGATTCTTTTGTGCGACTGGTGTATACGGCGTCACACTCACAAGGATGGTATCACGACTGGGTCATATGATACCAAATTATAAGCAGCTCTAGTCTTTATGAGAGTAGTCGGAGAGCAGGTATTATAGTAGTGGCCTCCCCCTTCCCCCTGCTTGACATTCAGATTCGAAGTTCCAATGAGTTTCTTTCCTCCCAATGTAACAACAACAAAAAAGTAGTCGGAGAGTTACGTGATCTGAGATGTCACAATGATCAGAGATTAATACGGTGTTTAGGGGAGATCAAACTTCTAATTCTATTTTCAAGGCTTAGCTAAAGGACAAACGATGTGATTTGAGTGAGATATTAGCGGTGTTTTGGCTAGTAGCTAGTCTATTCTATACAATCAGATCTTTGAAAGGCACATTTATTAATTAGGTTTAAATCATTGATTCATCAATTTATTTTTAAAAACATTAACCTTCACTATAAGATTTATAAAAATGAGTGATCCATCATTCACCAAATACGTGTGGGATGGTAACCAAGCTGGTTTGCCCGAGAGGTTAAGGGGGAAGACTTAAGATCTTCTGCACATAAGTGCGCATGGGTTCGAACCCCATAGCCAGCAAATAAAATGGAAGGATTTTTCTTTTTTTTCTTTTTTGGCGTGAGGCCTTTCTCTATCCTTATTTTTCTTAAATAAATATATCTTATTTTTAAACCATAATCTAATTATCAAAGCAAGATTGATTATATTATAAGAGACTAAAAAATAGTGTATAATTTTTTTTGTGACGAGAAATCTCCACAAGCAATATATATTTTTTTTAATAATCATATGTCCCTAGTAAACAGCAAAAGACCTACAAGTTGAAGGTTGCAAAACGTTAATGTGGTGGAGGTGTCTTCCAAGAACTCTCAAACCATCAAAGTCAACATAGCTTGGTAGATACGTGATAGAATAGTAGGAGCACTTATTTTATGCATGCAAGGGACTAAAATTGTATGTTATATATGGAAAAATATTCATTCTCATTGTTTTATTTATTTATACAAGTGATATTCTATATTAAATTAATTTAAATTATGAGAATATGGATTCGAACTCGAGTGCATAAGTGGGAAGGACATCCGCTCTAATCAACTTGACTAAGCCCATATATGCTCATTCTCACTGCTTAGATTGGCAGCCACCCCAACTGACAAATATTCCTCCTGCAAATATCATTATCAAAGAGCCAGTCCATATCAAAATATTGATTCTCATTTTTCTTGTTTGTTTAAGGTTGAGGTTGTGGATCAATATGGTTCTTTCTTTCAGCTGAAAAATCACTGCCATGTAATATGTAAGTAGTAGACTAGTAGTTCTACTGCAAAATGAAGGCAACAAAGATTTGAATGCAAGCGATTCTTCCGTGCGATTGGTGTATAGATGGCATCACACTCACATGGATGGTGTCATGAATGAGTTATGTGACACCAAAATATAAGCAGGTCTAGTCTTTATGAGGGTAGTCGCAGAACTACGTGGTCTGAGATGTCATATGACGGTGCTTTAGTAAGGTTTTGGCTAGTAGCTGGTCTATTCTATACAATAAAATCTTTGAAAGGGGTTGTGCTTTAGTATGTGCTATCGCATTTATTAAAGGATAATGCTTCCCTTCTTGCTCGTTAGAGGAATTCATCATTACCTATTAATGTGACTCAACCACAATATAACACGTCTTTTTATTTATTTATCATTTTCAAAGGTGCATTTATTTTTCATTTTAATTATTCTTAATAACAAGAGAGACACGTGTCAGATTGTGACTGAATCATATCAGTGCGCAAGGAGGAGTTCCTCCTTATGGGTAAAAAAGGAAGCATTATCCTTTATTAATTAGGTTTAAATCATTGATTTATTAATTTATTTTAAAAAAACATCAACCATATACTATAAGATTAATAAAAATGAGTTATGCATCATTCACCAAATATATATGGGATGGTATCCAAGCTGGTTTGCCCGAGAGGTTAAGGGGGAAGACTTAAGATCTTCTGCACATAAGTGCGCATGGGTTCGAACCCCATAGCCAGCAAATAAAATGAAAAGGTCTTTTATTTTATTTTTCTTTCTATTTTTTGGCGCGGAGCCTTTCTGTATCTTTGTTTTTCTCAAATAAAGATATCTTAGTTTTGAACCGTAACAGAATCATTCATGTTTTAGGTTTTTTTTCTTTCAAGAATTATCTATGTAAAAAATGATTAAATTGAAAATCCACTTGATTAACTCTACGAGGATAGTAGTTGTAGTTCAATTTCCGATCATATTATAATTCAAATATTTCGCTCCGCTCATCTCATGTCACATGAACTATAATTTGAGAATTTCTCTTAGTATAAGGAAAATCTCCACAAAGCAAAGATTAATTATATTATAAAAGACTAAAAAATAGTGTATAATTTTTTTGGTGATGAGAAATCTCCACAAGCAAGATCAATTTTTTGTATCATTTGTCCCTAGTAAACAAGTTGAAGGTTGCAAAACGTCGATGTGGTGAAGGTGTCTTCCAAGAACTCTCAAACCATCAAAGTCAAC